TGTCGTCGGAACGAGAATTCCAAGTAGGGTTCATGGTTGAATTGCACTAATGAGACCTGAAAGATGATGATTGTTCAACAGACAACGAATTTGAAAGCTTATTGTCAGATGACGATCGCTGCACTTTCATCACTCAACGAGTCAATCGCACCAATCGCGAACGCCCCCTAGCATGATGGCTATTTATTGCTACACCTCTATCATCATTCACTTCTGCTTTCCCATTCCATTCCTTCATCCACATTCGTTTATGCTCGTAGAAAAGGCCAGCAACAAAAACTTCATTCTGAGCGCACACATAACGTATTGAATCACACGATTCACCTGAGTTCCATCCGGACCAATATTTCTGAAGCCTTTCACGGTACCACGAATCAGTTCGATGGCTCTATCGAACTGACCCTCACCAATGCTTGCCGACGTGTCCAAAAGAAACAGAACATCTCGTTTCGCATGATCGCTTTTATCATTTGGCATTGAGCATGTTTCTGAAAATTACGACGCGTTTTTATCATGTAAACATCACAAGAATCTTCGGTGGCGCAGAATTTCTTGATAGTATATTTTCCAGCGAAATCGTGACCAATAATCAATTATGGTTACTAATGAACCGACAAATTCATTCTGATCTTTCAGATAGGATGAGAAATTATTCACTGCGTCAGTGCGCATAAAAATTTCATTGTTACAAAAAGGCGAAATCAAATTCATGCGGAATATTTAGAGAATGTGACTAATAGTAAAAAGAATCAGGGAGATAGATGGATGCCTTGCGATGATGGTTCGACTGCTGCTGTTTGAGGTGCATTTGTCGTGGTTCTCGTTTGTGTTTGTCGATTATTCTCGCTGTTTTCTGCTCCCTCTTCTGCTTCATCCGCTTCAGGTATCAACGTTGTGATACCATCCGATTCGGCCGTCGCTGCTACTTGTAGAGTTGTTTTGCTCAAGGTTGAGCTAGTATCGAAAGTCTGAGTGACTACTTCAAGACCACCTGACTGAGTCGCTCCAATAGATTGTGATGTTTGTTCAGCCAACTGAAAACCCCACAGTTAATTCGAAAATTCTGCGACTCAAGGAACACTGTTTAAAAATTTC